ATTCATCTACATGTTTACACTCATAACATTAATTTGTTTATAACGTCACCAAAATTCGTTATAAAACGACTCAACCTATAAGAGAACAACACAGAGACAGTCGCCCCCGCCATCCGCGTAGCGCAGTGCAAGTTGCTTTGCGTGCCGTCTGACCACACCGAGTTTTAAATCCGGGACGGGCAATGATATTTAATACTTTCGTTCTCCTGATAGTGATGCTGATGACCTTTCTCTTCTGAGCCCACCGATTTTTCTAAAAATAACTTGCGCTGCTTGAATAGTTTGTTTTCAGATGGAAGGCCAAATTCGAAAAGCTTTTTTTCAGACGGAAGGCCAAATTCAAAAAGCAATCGCGGTTCTTCATCCAGCGCTAACTACACGTTAAGCGGAGACCCTCACCACCAATCCAATTCGCAGGATATACGTGAGTAGTTTAGAGGAACTGCGGCAGTACTAGAACCAACATAATAACTGTATAAGCGTTTGATTACAATCAACTTAAACAGAGACACCTATTAAATCCAGTGCTGAAACTTTAGAACAAAAAATCTAAATCTAAGCCCCATATCGCACTTTCACATTGCTTTCAAGCGCAAAAACAGCTTTTGAAGTAAAAAACACCTAACCGTTCAGTGAAGTAGCTTCGCAACGTATTTTAAGGAATTCTAAAAGTATTTTGAAAGATTCCTCGCAAAGAAAAAACAGCGAGTTATAATTAGAAGGTTATGCCAATTAAAAATACAAAAGACTCTGAAAAAATTTGTTTCCTATAATTTAATTTCATTTAGGTAGCACTGACCACAATTACGAAGACCCGATAGGTCTAGCTCCAGAAAGACCAAAAACAAGTAAGGGTCAAAAAGGGCGCAACCTTGAAGAAACTTTGGAGAATGAGGAGATTGATGAGAACTTTCTACCAGACTGAAAAAACTGGCAGCCAAAGCAATATGAAAAAGATTTGACGACATTTGCATGCTGCAAAATTAGCAGAGTATACCCAGTTAGGATACAAACAACAACTCGATCATCTGATGTCAAATTCTCTTAAATGTACAAAGTAATAAAACGTTCGAGCGAAATTCATAATTGAAGCTGAGACATCAACGCGGTTACTAAGGTATCTTTCACAAAAAATGCATAGCACAGAAAGCGATAGGTATGTGAAACGACACTTAAACAAATATAATTTTTCGTGTCTTAATGGCAATATAGTATCTTAAAACAAAAAAAAATAAATAAATAAAATAAACACCGGCAAACAGTAATTTTTTTAAAATAAGAAGTTCGGCTCTTCAATTAAACCAGAGTTAACTATCTCAGTTTGAGACTAAAAGTGCCATTTTTTCACTTTCGATTGAAACTCGGCCCACAAAAAACCACTAAGTTTTCCATAAATTTGTTTCATACGACTTAACATACCTACTATCAAAACCCAATTTGAAAAGTTTGAAAAGTGTAACTTCTTCATAATAGTCCCGTCTAATCTGAATCAGAGTCAATCGCGGCGCGACGTCGGTCAAACTACAATAGCACTAATTCAAAAATTCATCATAACTGCATGAAGACACAAGGCTTCATGAAATTAACAATTTTAAAAGCATCAGTACAAAATGCAACCTTCACCGTCGTCGTTCTTTGTGTTTGACCCGCCATGCGATCTAAAATTTGTTTAAGTCCTTCATCTGTCAGTTTGCCAGCAATTTGGCCAAGTCTGAAAGATTCTTATTATCCCAAAAAAACTTGATTCTAAGATTGCATATTAGTTGTCTTATCAAGTATAATAAAAGTCGCGAATCACGACGACTATTGCCGCGCATTTCTAAAAACCGCTGGTAAACCAAGAAGTCTCCAACCAAAGATTACAAACCGTGCCATTTGAATAATGGTATTCTCCACCATCTTGGCTTTTTCTGGTTTCGCAGCAGCAAGGTTACTCAAACGAGCCATTGCGCTTTGGTCCAAGACCTACATAATGAAAAATTTGTTTTAACACCCATACTGACAAAATTTTCGCCAATAGAAATATTTGTCCTTAACAGAGACAAAAACTAGCAAAAATAAAAAAGGAAGAACTCTTTTAGTACCAAATGTTGATTCTCTGTTATGAAGAAAGCTCTAGCTCAAGAACACTTAAAAACAGTAGGTGATTCACTTGTGAAAGGATGCTGTTTTTTGCCATCTCCTGCTGTTCAGCGGCCTGGCGAGCTTGTTCAGCCTTATCATCACCAGGTCTTCCACCTTCCTAAAAAAAAGAAAAAAAACAGGATAAAAAAATTACAATTCTAAGGCCACAGATACCTACCAGTATAAACTTTAAACAACAGTATAAGACACTACACAGATATAACAGAGCTACGGTTCAGATGCTTGTCAGCAGAATAAGCAAACCTGTTGGAACTGCTGCATGCGTTGAGCCCTTAATGAATCCATACTAGACATAACCTAGAGGCTTAAACATTTAACATAAAAACACAGTACGTGATCCAGACACCGTTTTTTCGCAACAGCAATAAACAACTTTACTCAGCAAAAGCCAAGTTTGCTTGTAAAGAAGAAGCGCGCTTGTCACTTAAAACAACACGTACTTTCAAAACCGCTTCAACCTAAGCGTACCACAAACCTTGGTATCCAAATAGCGATATAAAATTATAATTGAGGCGTAAAATGTTCTACTAAAAGGAAAGTATCAAAAAAAAA